TGTGTAACGCAATCTGTTTTGGCCAAACCCAACGCGCGCGTGTAATGTGTGCGTGTATGTACGTGCTTTCTCGGGCGGTTAAAGCTTTTGGTTGGAAGGGGGGGGGGGGGGGGCGAGGGAAACGCAGTTGCAAGGAATGACGAATGACAGGAATCAAGCTACAGGAACGGGACTTGAGTGGGTATAGTAAAGATATGAAAGAGGAGGCGGAGGGGAAAGAATTTTGCCATCCAACCCGGAAGGGCTTCAAGACCAGCGATACGCAAGTCGCTTTTGTACTGCGACCTTGCATCGAATGCAACGTCTGAACCTGCCCGCGAGCATCATTGCGGGCTTGTGGTTGGCTGACATGATAAGCGGCCCTATCTGACAGGGTAGAGATTGAGCCGATCCGTCTTGGATCTCTTGGTAAAAAGCAAGCCATACTGCAGCAACCAAGGCGCTAGTACATCTGCCAGGGAGACACACGGCAATCCTTCCGGACTCCTTCCCTCCTCAAAGCTTTGCAATCAATCCTTGGTTATATATCTGCTTTCATTCTGGCCCCATATCTCGAAATATGGCCGTGCATACCTTCGTACAGTGAACTCTTATTAAGCAAATAATGACAGTCAGACAACGCCCAACATGTGGAAAAGCCAAAATCTGCATGGTGCTCAAACTCAGCGTCATGGCTGATTGCGCAATCCTAACCCATGTCCCAAACGCCGTGCTAGAGAGTCGCTGTAAGCAGTACAGAAGCTTGAGAAAAGGAAATTTAACCCGGAAAACAAAACCTATTGACCAGGTGTTTGCTCCTCCTCCTCAGTACTCGCAATCGCCTCCTCCCCCTCCATTGTCAAGTCAACCGGCGTTGGTGCAATTCTCCGCCTCTTGTTCTCTCGCACGTCTTCCGTCTCGGCCTCTGCAACAGGGTTAAGATCTCGTTTTTTGGACAGTGCTGCTCCGTCGTCACGATCGCATTCGCTCCTTTCGCTCTCTCTACGTCCAACCTGGCCAATGTGTGGAACTCCACTGACTGAGCTACTGGCGCTATGTGACCCGCCCTGACCATGAGCAGGGGTAAGAGGCGGTGTCCACATAGGAACTGGCCCAGAGTTAGCTGCTGCAATGCTCGGTACTGACGACATGACTGGTGTTGGTGCATTCATGTTGCTTTGATCTCCCGCTCCAGGAGCAAATGACGAGGCTGTAGCGATACTAGACACCGAGTTGCTTCTTGTAGGACTGCCTGGTCTTGCAGGAACAAAAGAGCTAGGAGATGCTGGGAAACCTGCAGATGGTTGTCTTTGCATTGGGGGTGCTGTTGCCGTTGCCGTTGCCGACATGCTTCCAGTTGTCGGCGTAGGTGTTGGGGTGGAATGATTGGATGCCTGACTGGCCGCTGTGTTAATGGCGGCAGGTGTATTTTGCTGTCTGTTGTGAACAGCCAGTGGTCCTGTGTACTTTTCGCCCAGTTCTCCAGGAGCGAATGTTATCGAAGAGCAGAAACCATCCGAGGATGTCATTAGTAGCATGGATCCATCATTGGACCTTTGAGAGTGTCAGCAATTTTCCAAACTCAATGGTCCTTGTATTTCTTACCAGGTGATGTCTGTAAATGTAGCAAAGTGCAAGTTGCTGACTATGCACAGCGGCTTCTGCTGCTGCGTATCGTAGATGTGGATGGCATCTTGTGTTGCAACAGCATAAATCATGCGATAAGGCAGCGTGAAAGCAGACACAGGTCCAGCGGGCGGCGCGGTTGGTGCAGATGCGTCGTTTTCATTAGGCTTGGGCGATGGTGCTGAAACACTTGGTGAGGGTGACGGGGCACTTGTAATGGGCGGCGGGTCCATTGATGAATGCGATGTCGGGGGCTTTGAGGGCATGACAGGTTCAGGCAGAGAGGGGATCTCATCGTCCATGTTCGAGGTGTCAATGGTGATTTGTCTCGTCGGAGGAGCCGTCTGGCGTAGGGTGTAGTACACGGGCGAACAACGCACAGCAACCGAAGGCTTCTTGTGACCTGGCAAATACGCCACTGGAGGCTTGTTCAGACCGGCCCTAGTGTAAATGTAGACGGTGTTGGTAATGTCCTCCGCCGGCTTCGCCTCGCCTACAGACGGGTGCAGTGCCTTGTATTGGCCTGCCGGAGTGAAAAGCAAGCTTCCATCTGGAGCAAACGTCAAACGTCGAAAAAAGGATGTGAGTGTCTCGTTGAAGTAGATGGGTGCGTTCCGGATTCCAGTGCCGATACTGCCAATGCTGGGAGAATTGGGCATGACAGCGGGCAGGGGCATGGACGGAGCTGGCGAGGCAGAGCGGCGCATCGAGGGCGAGGAGCCAAATGATGAGCGACGGCTGTGCGAAGTCGGCGGCGGGTGCATAGTCGGCAGGGCGAGCGATTGTGGTGTGCCAGGCATTGAGGGCACAGGCGAGCCGATTGCCAGCGAATCTCCTACGAACGAGGCGCGACCACCAAAGTCGGGTGGTGCAGGGCTATTTGAAGATACTCGTCGTGCGGGTAGATCCATTTTGGTGACCTTGCTGTGCTGGGCCAGGGAAAATTGACCGTCCTTGTTCTTCAGCGTGTAAATGTGTACAGATCGGTCAGAAGATTGTGTGGCAATGTATTCATTCATTGGATCCCAAGCCACACCTTGGACATAATGGTTGTGCTCAGCAATCTGTCGCACAATTGTTCCTAGAGGTTATTGAGCAGCTGTGGGGAGGGTGGCGCAAGGGCAGGATGTCGTACCAGTCTGAGCGTTGTAGATGCGGGCAATGTTGTCCATGCTGCCCGTGATGAAGAAGACGCCATCTGGCGACCATGCCAGGTCGTAGATTTCGGAGCCTATGGATCTGCACATGGCCTTGACTCGCCATGTCTCTTTGTCCTCGAGGCCTTCCTCGAAGTTTGTGTGGGTTGTCTGGTTCTCGGCAGGGACCCAGAGCAGGACATTGCCGTCGTCACCGGCACTGGCCAGCATTTCGCCTGTACATGTTAGCCGTGGTGCGCGTATGCTGGATTGGCCTGGAAGTACCGCGTGGGCACCATCGTACTACGTTGACGGCTTGTGTGTGCTTGACGAGCGTCGACAGATACGTGACCTTGCGCTCTTCGCCATGTGTCTCGACGCTCCAGAGCTGCAGCTGGTGTTAGCGGATGTTGGCGGCTAGTGTCTGTTGGCATGACGCACGCGAACATTGTTGTCTCCGCCCGCAGTTGCTAGGCGGCCCTTTCCATGTGGCTCGAAATGGGCAGAGTAGATGGGGGCATTTTCATTGTGCCAGGAGACGAGGAGAGGAGCAGCCTTCATGTTGGACCAAGATGCGGCTGCTCATGGGCCGTGTCAATGGCGAGGGCGTCGAGGATACAGGGCCGGGTGCGAACCAGTGGGTAGAAGGGTATGGCGAGGGGGGAATGGTTGGTGATGGTGGTTGTGGTGGTGTGAGACTATCAAACGGGTTGCTAGGCTGTTTGTTGCTGGGGACCAGGGTTTGGTAAGTAGTTGGCGGACAGGATCACGATGGGCTGCGGAGGCCCGCGAGCAGTGGATTGTGGTGGATTGATGAAGGCAAGGCTAGAGCGAGGGAGCCAATGTTTTCTTTATCTGACTGCAGATCACTAGAGGTGGTCGTCGAGGCATTGCTGGGCCTGGGGGTGGTTGGCGCCATGTCTCTAAGCCGCCTGCACATGGACACGAACCGGGCAGCGCGAACGTTCCGCGTCTCCGGCTAGCCGCCTTGGGAAGCCTAATGGACTGGTTTCACCGTCATACGGCCCAGGCACAACACAACACCCTCGCTGCCAGCTAGTCATTCGCCCTCGACACACCAAGACGAACAGCACAAACAGCGCCTGGCCTGCATGTCCATCCGCCAGAGGGCGTGCAGCGACAGACATTCACGTCCAGCCCTTCTCTGCCCGGGGGAACCAACGAACCTGTCGTGCTGCCCATGCAAACGCCCCGAGCATGCTCGAGTGTCCATCCATTCACCCCGGCCGCGGCAGGCCCAAGATGAGACGCAGGCGAAATACGGGCCTTGTTACGACGCCACTTATGCACCCTACACTGACCATGTTTCTCATCGATTATGCGGCCTGCACTATCGCCCGTCGTTCTGCCACCCATCGTCCATCCATCTCCAGGTGCAGCCCGCGCACGGGCCCGGGTGGATCGGGATCGCGTCACGTCTCCAGCGCAACCACTACACGGTGGAGTCGAGCACCCACAACACACGCCCACCCATTGGCTCCTACTCTGCCAGAGAAGCCGAGAAAAAGGACCGCACACTCCCGCCAGCCCCCCTGGACTGCCTGCGGGAACCACCACAGCCTGCCCATTACACCCGTACGTGAATACGCACTTGCCTGGTAGAATTTTCCGCCTCTCCTCAGCATGGCGGACCAAGGACCCACCCGCCTTGAAACTGAGCTCGAGCTACTACACGCCATGTATCCCGACCAGACACACTACAACCCCAATTCCCGCGAGTTAAAGTTCACCAATCATGGCCATTGCTCCTTCCTTCTTCGCTTACCGGAGACGTACCCTGATTCAGGATTTCCCGACATCATCTCTGCAACGGATGCGGCCAAGAATGACTTGCGCCTACGTCTGAGAGCAGCCGTAGCAGACTTGACACTACTTGAGGGAGAGGAATCACTCGATGCCATTGTTGCCACCTTTGAGCGTCTCATCGAATCTGCTTCTTCGCATCTGAATCAACCACAAAATGCCAGTGCCACTTCTGATACCCCAAAAACAATCATCGTATGGCTGCATCACCTTCTCAACACCAACAAACGCAAACTTGCCCTCTCGCCCCCACCCGCAACACCTCCCATTTCCGGCCTCACCAAGCCTGGCTATCCAGGTGTCCTCGTCTACTCGGGCCCATTCTCAGCTGTCACCGAGCACGTCAATTCGCTAAAGGCCCAAAACTGGCAAGCCTTCCAGGTACGCTACGAGGAAGATGAGCTCTGGCACTTTGCACATGGTACAGGCGTCAAGGAAGTCGAGACCATGAGCGACGTTGTAAAGGGCGTCGAGACACACAATCACACGGCCAACGAACAAAAGGATAAGCTTCTCAAGGCTGTTGGTATAAAATAAAAGTGCATTCCGGCCTCGTATTCGGCAGCGTGAGGAATGGAGGGAAGATTCTTGCCGGATGTTGATGTCCAAGAAATTCGGAATCACGGAAACCGAACCGAGCCGGACATTGCAGTAGTGCTGTTGATCGTGGACTGCATACACCGCAGCATGGGTTACATACGAATCTGACGTTCGATACCTCAGCTGAGCCTCTCTATTCGTCGCATACCTTAGGGCAGTGAGCCATGTAATCGGTGGAAAATGGACTGATTTACCCCGACAAGGTCCTTAATAAGTCCGCCAAGGAGAGAGGCCTAGCCCAACTTGGAAGAGCTAGTCTTATCAACTCCCTTGTCAGCTTGTCAGCGCTATCCCACGATGTCAAAGGGCTTAGCTCTCGGTCGTCAGCGACTTGCGACGACAAATGGCCTGAGATCCAAGACATCTATAGCGAATCTCCAGTTTGCCCGGGCATTCAATTTCAGAGACAGTATAAAGACTGTGCTCCATGATAGTACACCCTTCCTGAAGTATCGGGGCCCCTGTACTGTCCTGAAGCAATCGACACTCACCACGTCTGGGCGTATTACCATTTTTCACATCTTGTCCACACATACTCGATCGGTCGTAGATTTACTATTTTAAGCCCTTCTAGCAACCCGACTTCTCAGCGATAGCATGTAATCTTCTAGACGAAAATAGGGAATGGCAATAGGAACTTTCAACGAATGGTACCGTGCCAATGCAGACCGTGGTCCAGTTGATTTGCGGAAGGCGAGTCACTGCAGCTGCAGAAATTAAGTGCATACTTGGAGCTGATAGTTCTACTGAAGCATGATTATGGAAGCTGATTTCCAAGTTAAAAAGCGCCACCAGGCAAGCCTCCCTCTCCTGCATCCTACACCATTTCAACAGCAAATGGATGCATCCTGATGCTGTCATGTCAGATTCCCCATCTGAAAAGAAATCTCAAATTCCTACCAAAAGAACGAAAGGGTGAAATAAACCAATAGATGGTGCAAACATCAATTCCTAACATGGTGTGTTCATGTTTGTGGAAAGCCCTTGGAACAACCGGGTCACGTGGGGAGCTATTAAAGGCTACGTGCAAGGGTTGGCCTGCGGGAAGTGACTTTGTATACGTTTTGGACCGCGCCATGGGACCGCTATCCCTTGTCTTGGGCTCTTTCCGATTATAAGTGCTTTTTCGTTCCTGTTTGTTCCACAGTGGATGTGTCAAACAGAAGAACCTCACCAACGCATGGGATCAGCATTATCCACCTTGGAGACTTAATATTCGACTATGACAGTGTACCAAGACCAAATTCAATCCAATCGATCCAAGTCTATGTCACGGTATAAACGGGTGTAAGGTCAAGCCATGCAAGTGACAACTGCGAACGCTAGCGCCGATCGAGACCCTACCCAGTGGCTTGCGTCGCAATCATCGCGCCTCTATCGAAGCTTAATCCCACATGAGCACGCGTGCTGTGGAGCGGACGATCTGGGGCGTTGCCAAATACGGCCGTGGCTGCTTTCTGGTGCAGCCTAGGACTGATCTAAAACCACTCATGGCTTGGTCTTATAACGATCTTCCAGTCCAGTAGATGTACTCAGGTACTAGATTGGACATTGCTATTTAGTCTCTAGGTGCAGCTGGAGCTCTAACTTAAAACCGTCTCAAACATGCACCTCGCCAAAGAAGTCAAGATTGAGCCAATCTGAAGTCAACAAAAAAAATTCCCGAGCCTCCATGTTGATTGATTTGATCGTTTCCAGAGCGAAATATCGTTTCAACCCTCAGGGACTGCCATGGAGCCTTAGCGCACACGCACCCAATCTCGAACCTCCACATTACGGCTGCGATCCACATTTCCAAAGTCACATTTTGTTGAGGCACTGAGTTTATAGCATGAAGAGTGTTTGATGTCTCATTTTTATCTATTCAGTTTGAGTGCAGACAGCTTAGTATGCTCCCCGCAAGAAGGATCTTGTGCAGTCGGGGCTGATGTGTGTGACGGGAATTTAGTTCACGACTACCAAAGGTCGCGGCGTCAACCTCGTTCCATGGCTGAACAGGTTATCTGGGTCGTATTTGTGTTTCAATTCTTCAAGTCGTTTCACATTCTCACCAAAGATTTCGTTCGCTTCCACATCGGCATCTGTTTCCATCAGCGTCGGAACAAGACTGTGCAAAGACGAGGAAGAGGCTTCAGAGCCTTTGACAACTTTAGTTTCACTTACTTGCATAGTTTCCATACTGGCCAACTCCCCCGTCTTTCGAACGATCCGCAGCAGTTTCAGAAGCCTTCTTTAGGAGACTGCGAGAGAATGTACGGATTTCAGTGTCGAGTGCTGGATCGAACCTTCCTATCATTAGTACAAACCTTGCTCTCGGTTTCCATTCTACTCACCACTTGAAAAGCGTCGCAACATTATAATAGTCTCCCCGATTCGAAAACGACGTCTGATCATTCGGCACCGCTATCACCTTCTTGTAAGGAATAATCTCGAACATCATCATGCTCTCATTCGTCCGTTCGTGCGATGCGACAAATGCATTGAACTCCGCAACCAGCTGCACAACGACGTCTGGGTTTAAGGGAAGTTTGAAAGCACCGCCACCAAATTGTTTGCATCCGTCGAAGCCTGCATTGGGATTGAGCAGACTGTTTAGCTTTTCGTAGGGAACCATGGACGTCATGTCTGCGATGGGACCGAGCGCAAAAAGCTCAGCGAAAAACGCTTTTGCCTCTTCTTGCGGACCGTTGTAGAAGAGCTGGCAAAGCGCAACAGGAGCATTTTCAGGTGGAGGCGCTGCAAATGCCATTATTATGGCCTGATTCCCATCGTTCGTTTCATGGAACTTATTTGCGAATGCGACAAGCTGTGGGGTCTTATCTTGAGGGAATATTAGGGGCCCGGCAAAGACTTCATTCTTTTGGTCGTAGGCTTGAAAGGTGAATGCGGTTGTTACTCCGAAATTCTGACCTGCGCCGCGTACGGCCCAGAAGAGATCTTCATTTGAGGTTGCTGATGCAGTGAGTTGTTCCCCGGACGCGAGGACGATGTCAACGGAGAGAAGGTTGTCTGGCGTCGTCAGTATCTGATTGTGATCACAGCTAAACAGGGTATAAAGAATTAATTATCAAAGGTGACTTACCAATCGTCAATCCATACTTCCCAGTAAGATACCCATACCCACCACCAAGCGTCAGGCCCCCCACACCAGTATGATTGACAGTCCCTCCGACAGTTGCGAGACCGTACTTTGCGGCCTCGACATCGACATCTTCCCAGAGGGCTCCTCCCTCGGCCGTGATGGTCTTGGCTTGAGGGTCTACAGTCACTTTGCGCATCTTGGAGAGATCAATCACGATCCCATCTTCGATTGAAGCGGCGCCCGAAGTCGAGTGTCCGCCGCCTCGGACGGTGAAGGGGATGCCGTGTTGACGGATCTGGGCGAGGGTTGCGGAGATGTCGTTGGGTGAGGTGACTAGTACAACGGCAGCCTGGTCTATTATAAGCCCGCAAATTTTTTTAAAAAAAAATAGGGAGAGAAAGAAGGCCGATACTTACAGCTCTCTTGATGCAACTTTCACTCCATCTCTCAATGCTCTTCTCGTATGCCGGGCCGTCACTGGGAAACAGAACCTCGGCATTTGTATCTTTGAGTAGCTCCTTGAGCGAAGAGTAATCAAACCTATGCAGATTTGAGCCCATCTTGAAATTCCAAGAGTACTTTTGACTCAAAACCTCGTGATGCAGTATACGGAATAGATATGTAGAGAAGCAAGGGCGAAATGCTAGATCTCTGCAGTATGACACGTCGAGTTTTAGCTTCTTTCTGAGGTCACACAAGCCGATTGATTAGTTTATCAGTCTGGCCTTTCAAGTATGTTCTCGGCTGACTGGTTCAGTAAACAGAAGGATGCTGACGCGACGCGGATGATTTGTTGGGCGGGGCGATAGGCGGATTATTCAGCACTCAGTCGACTGAGGGGCAATTCATACTCAAATCAATTGGCGGAAGCGTAGCCACTACTGCTGTGTTATCCCGACCTTTCTTACACTCGGTAAAACCGGAAAATGATTGCCCATCCTAACAGTGCAAAACCACCAAAAATATAGCTGAATTAGTACCTGCATACTTCTTCGGCTGCCGCGGCTCTTATAGATACTAGTTAATCTCTAAAAATCCAAGGGCGAAAAAAGTAGTTCACATGGATATAATAGCATAAATTTAATTCGGAGACAACCACGTTACGATAGAAATACTTCATGATCTTAATAGCTGGTTTGGAGGGGACAGACCCGGTTATTTTGATTTTCCACGTTTACCGGGTGCATGAGAGCCAAGTTACCACCGCACAGGTCTCTGGTCTACTTGGCGCATTACTGTGTCTATGGAAACATGTCGTGACAGGCAATTTCATCTTTGTAAGCAATATCGGATACGAGGACCTGGCAGGTCTTCAGGTAGCGATATCTGGCTGATGTGCTTGGTTTGGAAAGGCTTAGATACCAATTCTACAACCTGAACAGCAAGATCTTGGAAACATCGCTCACAAGACCATTTGGATACGAAACTAGTCAATGGTGGTTGCTGCAAATAGTAGACATGTGATTGGACAAGTGGTGACGAACAAGGCCCAACTAGCGTGGACCCTGGAATTCGGTGCGGCGAACTTCTTTCTTTCCCGCAGCAGGCACGTCGTTCGTTAGCCATACGACGTGCAGTGCTATCATGCTGAAGACAAGGAGCGTCCGGTCTATCTGCGCATCATGTCGTCTCAATATCGCAATTTCACGCGCCCGTAGCGCACGACTACCGTTGAGGACTCAATCCGCACCGCTACAAGTACGATTGCCCGCCTCGCGAGGCTTTGCGCCACAGCGAGCATTTTCGACAACACCTACGAAGAGAGATTTGGACCGAGAAACCAAGGAAAATGTCCCCTCTTCCGAGGATGTACCTCCTTCTCCAACCGAAGCACTCAATTACGAAGTCAACGCGCGGAGGGCGAGACAGCAATTCGGAGATACCTTGCCCAGGGATCATCTGAGTGCGGAAGAATACATGGTCTACGAGCGACTTTACGGAGAGCCTGTGTTTATCGACCCAGTAGAAGACACCCAGGGGCTTGACGCGGTGACTGAGGAAGAAATTATTCAAGAAGAACGGCCCGATGGCACAACGGTCTTGTTAAGGAGGACAAAAGATGGCGAGCTGGAGGAGCTTGAGATTGTTGCTGAGAACAACGCTCTCGAAGAGGAAGACGCAGAGGCTGACGAGATGGCCGACGAGACCATGACACCAGAAGAGTGGGAGGCACGCAGAGAGGAAGAATTGCAGACATACCACGACGACGTTTATGAGCAGAGTCGACTACAGCATGAGGAAGCTGAGGCATGGGAGGACATGGAAGAGTCGCAGGAGGAGGACGATTTCATGCGCGCCCATCCTCTGACTATCGCCGGCCGCTTCAAGCCATCACCCTCAACTGTGTTCCTGCCCAAGGAAACACTGGTGGACCCCACTGCCCTACTCCTAACCCGTGCCAATCACAAGCACCTTGCTGAATCTGCGAACCGAATTTTTGGCGGACGGGGTCTGCCCAACTCGGCCAGTACGGCTCCAGCACGCTTAGGCAACGAGCAAAAACCGATCCCGCTTGATCCTTCGCAGTCAGACATGGGCAATATCGAAGCTGATGCATACATGGCATCTGTCCAACCAGGAACATATGCGAGTGTTATGAGTGCCATGGTCGAGGTTCGACGGCGGCTTGGGACTGGATGGCTGGAGCACATGCTGCAGAACAAGAAGGGCGGTACTATCCTAGATGCTGGCTCAGGAGGTGTTGGTGTGCTTGCGTGGCACGAGATGCTTGAGGCGGAATGGCAGCGCATGCATGAGGAATCAGGGAACACTTCGCACGGCGCTACCCCACTAGGCAAAGCGACTGTCCTGACAGCTTCCGACACACTTCGCCACCGCGCAAGCAAGCTACTGGACAACACGACATTTATTCCTCGACTTCCAGAGACTGTGACACCCGAAGACGAAGCCAACACGCAACAGCCACGGAAATTCTACGATGTCATCATTGCCCCGCACACGCTTTGGCCGTTGCGACAAGACTATTTGCGCAAAGAACAGGTCGAGAAGTACTGGTCTTTGCTCAACCCCAAAGGCGGTGTTTTGATCCTCATTGAAAAGGGACTGCCGCGAGGATTCGAAGTCGTTGCTGGTGCTCGTGCTTATCTACTGGACAAGCACATTGCCTCACCCGGGTCAGAGACCATTGAACGATCCGTCGAGTCTCAAGTGTCGCACCCAGAAGAAGAGACCAGGTTTATCCAAAAAGAAGTTGGCATGATTGTTGCGCCATGCACCAATCACAGTACATGCCCCATGTATCAGTCTACTGGTGTTTCTCAAGGACGCAAAGATTTCTGTTTCTTTAGTCAGCGTTACATTCGGCCGCCATACCTTCAACGTATTCTGAATGCCAAGGACAAGAACCATGAAGACGTCCAGTTCAGCTACCTCGCTGTCCAACGTGGACGTGATCAGCGCCTTGCCGAGCACGACATACTCGGCAAGGGTTTTGTGCAGGGAGAGTTGTCAACAGCAGCTGCTTTTGAAGGCCATGAATGGAAGGCTTCAGACGCGGATCCAGACCTAGCAACAGAAGAGCCCACATTGACTTCGACAGCCGACGTCAATCCACTTACACTTCCTCGACTTATCCTGCCCGCCCTTAAGCGACGAGGTCATATAATAATGGATGTGTGCACACCAGCTGGCACACTAGAGCGCTGGACTGTTCCCCGATCCTTTAGCAAGCAGGCCTTCCGTGATGCACGAAAAGCGCGATGGGGCGACTTGTGGGCACTTGGCGCAAAGACGCGTATCCCGCGCAGTGTGCGTCTGGGACGCCCGAGTGACGAGTTCGACAAAAAGGGCAGAAAGGTGAAGAAGGCCAAGCAGGTGACTATTGAGATAGGCATTGGCGAAAGGGATGGCCGGACGGTTGAAGAAGGACCGGCCAAAATCCTGGGTAAAGGAGGAAGAATGTTGGTCGGAGACCGGGATGGACGATATACCAGCGATCGAAAGATTCGAGGAAGCAAGGGCAGGAAAGGAAGGAAGAAGCAGATTGGCCAAGACTATGATGTTCTGGACGACATGTAAAATATGATTGATGTATAAACTTTATGATGTACTATTACTATCCAAGTCCTAGTCGACTTCCAATCTTACCTCTAGAGATTTCTACCGCAATCTCACCCATCAAACTTGACATAGCCTTTTCCTTTTACAAATGTAGCCAGCCAAGGGACCTCGTTTGTGCGTTGCACCAACTGAGCGTAGAAGTCGCCATGAGCAGGCCCATCAACCACATTACCCATTGGACTGCCATCCGGCTGTCTCTGATCAGCGTAGAAGAAGCTAAATTCACCACAATCATCAGCGCCATTGCTCTTCCCAAACCACCGCAAATAAAAAAAGAAAGAAGAGAGAGAGAGAGAGAGAAAGAATCAAATAAAAAAAACTCACCGATATCCCTCCCCCTTGTGAATCTCATCCGCAAGCCCAACCCAATACGCACTTGCACTCTTGCCGACGCCCAACGTGACCAGCGCATCGACGGGCAAAATGGTACGATTCAGCATATTCCCGGTAAAAATAAACGTCTTGTTTCGGCCGTGCTCCTCGTCGTCCTTGGCCATGTGCTTCCACCCCTTGACGGCCTCGTGGGCGGCAACGTACGGACTCACGACGTTAACATTCAGGTCGGCGGCAAAGCTGTCTACGGGGACAGAGGTGACGAGGCCGGGGTCGGCTGGGGGCGTCAGGGTGGCGGCGTTGTAGACGACGACGGTGGGGTAGGCGTGCAGATCGGCGTGGATGCGGGCGAAGAGCGGGGGGATGGTCGAGGGGTTGGTGAAGTCGGCGGTTAGAGAGAGCGTTTCCGGGGAGAGCGAGGTGCCGCTGCGTGAGGCGGTCGCGATGCGGTAGCCGAGCGAGGAGAGGGCCGAGACGATTGCGGTGCCGGCGTTAGGGCCTGCGCCGAGGATGAGGGCGATGGGTTTGGGGGACATGGTTTGGGGGAGTCGTGTTACGGTTTGTGGATATGTGTGTAGGTTTGGGGAATGGGTGTGGTATTTGGGCTTAAGTATGTTTGTTGATAGTATAGTCATGGTTGAGTGTATTTGATTACAAAGTCCGCAGCTCGTCCGCTTCTTCATCTTTCTGCCTTGAATATTCCTCTTGACATTTCTGGTAAACCTATCGCCAGGTCGTCTGATAGTTCAAGGTACACCATGACACTCGGTCTGTTGAGCGCGTAGACTAGGACGAATGCGGAAAGAGGATCATGGTAATATTGCATGCCCGAACAGTCTTGTTTGGTCCAAAAGTTGTGGAGAAAAGCCAAATAAGCTTTCATCTGTGGGCGTACATGCTTAGCCAATCTTGCGCTTGCTTGGTAACAAGACGGCGTTTCCCCGGTTTGACATATCTGATCCCAATGGAATTTAACCAAGCGATATTAGTAAGCTGATTCACTCACATCATGTCAACAAAGGCAAACAGTCAAAAGTGTGGATGGTGTTTATTAAAATGATTGCTAAACGTGGTTGTATATACATCCAATACCCCCCACCCTCCCCCTCCCCAGTCAAAATCTAGTCAAAATCCTCGGCTTCCCTATAATCCATACATACATAGTAAAAGGGGTATATATCTCTACTAGTAATTTTTTTTTAAACACCAGTGCAAGTGCTGCGCCTGAAAAAAAAGACAAGCGTGTCAGCGCCCAATCGCGCTGAGGATGCACCCACCCATATATAATTCGCTCATCCGACGCCGTGCGATGCAAAAAGAACAAAGGAAATCATGCGGACAAAGTGAAAGGCATATTGCTCAAATGAGCAGTCCAACACCAAGACTGACGGTGTTGAGGCTGGCCTCGCGGCTCTCTGTGCTGGGCCGTCTCTTGTCGATGGCGTCGAGCTGGCGCGCGGCATCTGCCGTCATGGGCGCCTTGCCAGTTGGTGAGGGGGGGCCTGATGGGCCCGTCTCATCCGTGTTTGACTTTGAGTTAATAGGGGCGAGGTCTTCGCCAAATGAAATAGACGTTATGGAATCATCGCTAATGCCCCGGACTGGGGAGCTTGGTCGTTCGGGTACAACGGTTGCAGGCACTGTTTCGTCTGCGACTGGTGCGGGTGGATCTTGGTTTGCGCTGTTGTGAGACGGCCTCCTGATCTTGGGAAAACCATGTGCATCATAGCGCGGTGGATGCGCGGTGTATTCAACCAGCATGTGAGCTTTTACGCTGATGCGGAAACGCTGACCCTTGGCAAAAACCACATCGCTTACTCGCGGCGAAGAAGCGAGCAGTACCGGTGCACAACGGCGACGGTAGCGCATCATTTGTGCGGGCGAAGGTGGAGGCGGAGGTGTCGACTTGGGGTCAGATGCATTCTCGGATTGCTCGTCATCGGCCTGGGCCTGGTCTTGGGAAGAGACACGGACTAGAGATTGCCTTGCCTCTCGTGTAGGGAAGCGAACATCTTCTGGATCAAAATCATCAAGCTCGGCATCGGCCGATGGAGATGAGCGGCTTGTGCTTGGTTCGCGGTTTCCTGCTAGGTTGGGGTAGAGTTGTCGCATAATCTGCTCCTGTTCTGCAATAAGGCGGCGGCCAGCTTCCATGCTCGACAAAGCCTCGAGATTTTCTCCGACCTGTGCAGCATCCAAGACTCGCTGTCTGCGACTCCTTCGGGGCAAACTCCTGTACCGAGGCTCGCTGCGGTCCTCGAGTGGGGCGCTAATGTCAATGGCAGCACAGCATGACTCTACCCAGTCGAGCATGCTTTGCTCGGATTGGGGGCACAGCAGGAATTGTTCAAATTCGAGGCGCAGTCTGATGGGGTGTTCTCTCACGGGCTCAAAGAGTTGTGGGTCCGACTCATATAGCTTGGGACGAGCTGCAACGGGCACCAAGTGAACAAACGGAGATTTTGGGACCAAGGCCGATTTCCTGACATCAGAGGCGACGCCAACCTCGGCATGCTGCAGAGAATACGTCTTGAGCAGACGGCCCGGCGAGGCTGCCTTGTTCTTGCTGAGGAGGTGGGGGTTCTTGATGCGATAGAGGCTTAGTTGAGTGCCGCGGAGGATAGCGTAGACGTCGGCCCACTCGCGGTTACCCGAGACTTGGAAAGGCGACGACAGTTCCTGTTTGATTCCCACGATGCCCTCCATGTCGACGGTGCAAGTGTAGGGAGGGGGAAGAGGGGTGGCGCGGACGGCGTCTTGCTCTGCTTTTGTCCGGGCTTGGAGCCTTTGCATAGTCTGGGGGTCAATGGCACAGGCATACGAGGGCGGGGAGCCAAGGGGCAGCTGGGCGTGTGTATGGTAAGTGTTATGGTATCCATACGTGGCAGCGGCGCCAGAGTTTGCCGAGCGGGTGCGCGTGGTTCGACTTCGCGACATGGTGTCGGTGGCAGCTGGGTCCATAGGAAGAGGAAGCCAGGGTTGTGGGCCTGGGGGGGTGTGTGAGATGTGTGTTTGGACACACGCGAGGGCGGCCAGCAATGGGCAGGGCGGATATTTATTGTGGGCGTCTCAGGCGGACGGGAAGAAGCAAGAAACAGAGAGGGAGGGCTCGGTGTGTGGAGGCGAGGCAGGCGTGTTTGGGTATCTCTGGGAGGTGCGACAGGGGTAGTGTGGGCGTGAAATGAGCGACGCGGATGGGGCGTCTGGCGTCTGGGTGGGCTCCGAAGAAAGCGCGGTCGGGTGGGCAGCAGGGCGTGGCGGAGAATGGGGGCGACGCATTGGCGGCAGCGCGTCTTCTTTAAGCGATCAGCGAGCAGCGAGGGCTAGGAACGAGTCCGGGCTGGGCCAGGCAGGATGTGGGACGGCGTCCATGGGCGGGCGAGGGGCGGGTTAGGCGTGATAGCGTTAAGTAAGTAAGTAGGGATGGCCGTCACTGGGTGCTATCAGGCGGCCCTGCAGCGGTTTTGGCGTGCCGACCATGTTCCAGATGTCGGGTGCGGGCCAAGGCCGGCTGCTGACTCATGCTCAGCCTGCCAGTGCCACGGGCCCTCGATGGCTTCATCGCCCGCCGCCACCAACCACAGAGGCCCCCGCTGGCGACCGACTGCGGCCCTGTTGCGGCTGCTGCTGCTGTTGTTGTTGTTGTGCCCGTCTGTTTGTTTGCGTCCACGTACAGCAACCAAGCACATGCGCATATACTAGTACATATCCATGTCTCTCTCCCTCTCCCTCCTTCACCTCCACCCACCGCCCTGCCTACCCCGCCTCAGTCAGACGACTCCTCTAGCACATGCACGCCTGCACCACGCACGTCGGGCTGGCACGGCACTATACTCTTCGCGGCTCACCTCCCCAGACAGCATCCCATCGTCGCCTTGATTGTGACATGCCCCATTACTTACTTACTTACTTACTTACTTACTACCCAAACACACTCCCTCCAGCCGCCTGTAAGCAGCGCACACAGTAAGCCCGCCCTCGTCCTCCAGGCCTCAGCAACATGCTCCCTCATCGTGTCTGGCCGCACAAGCCCCTTAGCCACTGCGCCGCCCGTGACATATTTATCTTGACTCCCCCCAAAAGAAGCCACCCTCCACATCGGCCGTGTCCGCGCAACATGGCCATCAAGACTATTGCGTCTTGTCTCGGCCGACGCCTGCTGCCTTTGCAGCCATGCATGCATGCGTGCTAGACGCGCCATGTAGCCATGTCTTCTCCTCCTCGACGGTCATGCATCCATGGCCACGCGCCTGTTCCCCACAGATGACACGGCTTGGTCCATGGCCCTGCCACTCCAGCCCTCTGCCGCTGCTGCGTGAATCAACCCGTTGTGCACTGCCGCCATAGCCCACCCGTTGCTCTGCTCCTGCTCCGCCGCTGCCACGCTCATCTTTCCATCCAAAAATCCCCCCTTTGAAACACTGACAGCTCAGCAATCTGCCATAGCAGGCCGGCCATGCTGACAAGTCGCGCCACAAACGACACCCGTCCGCCTGTCTCGTCAGCACCCACTCGGCCTTGTCGACGATCCTCATCGCACAACTGTTCTACCTTACGAGCTGAGCGGGGTGCTGGGTGAGTCTAATAACCTGACTGCATGCACATCACACAAAGGCCCTATTCCAACCACCGCATCATTGGTACCCTTACTCAACTCCGACCGCCCCAAGAAAATGCCCATGCAATCATTCGTCGCCCTCTGCAAGTTCGTCGAGGGGGCCGTGCGTCCACTAGCGACCGCTCAACACGGGCGGCACTTCGGATCTCCATCGTCAAATCCTTAAAACATGGCCCTTCCGGTCCACACCCAACAAGAAAAAAAATCCCATCCGTCTCACCTGTACATCTGAACTTGGCCCATCTCCTCTCAAAAGTGGACACAGAACCACTAGAAACAACCTGCATACACTATCTACTTACTGACCCACTCCCAAGCTGCGGCAAGAACCCAGATTCCTTTAGGTGCCCACTGTTCCTGCAGCTACCTCTTGCCCACCCCCACCCGTCCGCCGACCCAGAACGTTCGCAATCACCCGTTTGGAATCTTCTTTGTAGATCAACGGTACGGTTGCGTATCGCCTCATAGTGGAGTCATCTTGCCCGCTTTCTATGCACCAAGTATACCTGTTCAAGCTGCGAGAAAAATTAATCGCTCATGATGTGCATTTGCTGGCCACGCCACTCTGCACCAGGATTCGCGGGCTTATACCCCTCAGCGGAAACACAAAGTTTGCGATAAGACTAGATTCTAGAGTAAGAATCAGAGCGCAAAAAAAAACTCATGACAAAAACTAGTGCTTATCTGAAACACAATTGAATCAGCAAGTTCCAAAAGTCCGAGGAAGGCATGGCCACTCCGAATTGCTTCAATCAGGAAACTATTTACGTACGCACACTACGCCCATCTATTCTTGACTCATGCACGTCATCTTTCTCATCTCCAGTCATGCTACTCACGGCACTTTGCACACAAGGTACAGAAAAAGCAAATCTAGTTCACATTCCAAAATGACACGCCCACAAAACCTGCTTTTCGTGCAACGTCATTTGTCATTCGTTGAGAGTACTACACAAAGATATACTTCGTCATGACTCACGCCAATGATTGACAGAATCAACATGCAACACACAAGTTTACGTCTCTCCAATCACTCCCAGAAATGGTGTACACAGCTACACACGGTTATCACCGCCCATTCCCCCTTGCACTTTCAAAAATAGCACGCACATCGCCATCTTGCAGCTCAAAAAACAAAAGAATGCAGACATCTTCAATAACTCAATCAGTCAACACATTTGCATCTGCATGCGCCATCACCTTTGCTTTTTGTACTTCACCCTGAGCCCATTCAACCCAAACAATGAAACACAAAGACAAAAACTAGCAAAATAAGCAACGCTTTCCAAAAATAATACCCCTCGGAACAATGACGACCATCGTACCATTGAACATGCTTAAACTGCAGAACCAAAAAAAACCAGGCATAGATCCACTATGTACATTTTGTGTGGAACAAGGAAAAAAAACCTGAAAAAAAACAAGGGCCGAACCGGAGTCGAACCGGTGACTTCGGGAAGGCGGTTTTTGGGAGAACTGCAGTCCTACACTCTACCACTGAGTTACCGGCCCAGTGGAGATGACAAACTGGTAAATTTCAATCAATATAAATCACAACTGAAAGTCGTCTGAAAGAAGACGCGATGAGAGCAGAGTAGATCTTGTTGTGCCTTAGCCCGCGCATCATGCTCGGTACATAAGTATGTATCACTGCTTGCTCTTTATGTAATCACCCCGTGACCAGAACACGCACTTAACGCACTTCTCTATTCGCAATCATGTCAAGTAGCCAAAAACGAATCATGAGCATCTCGCCCGGCAGCATTCTTCTTTTTCTTACATCTTTGTACACAGTAATATACATAGCTCGCCATCGTAATAGTACAAGTTTGCTGCCATTGTATTCATACAACTGTCTTCTTCGTTTCCCCTCGCATCATATCCCCTCAAACTCACTCTGTCCCCAACCATGCAACCTCACTCCCACCGCGTTTCCTTCTTAAGCGGCTTCTCCCAATCCTTGATGTGATCGGAAATAACCTTGGCAGCCTGGTCAGCTGTAAAGTTGCGGCCAATGGCTTCGACAAAGTCGCCTTCTGGATCTATATCCACCGCATTAGTCTCAATTCTTGTTTTTTTTTCAGTCTCGGACAACATACCCATGAGATAAAAGTAGATGCTGTGATCAACCAGATAGTCTTGGCCAGGCTTGACGTTATTCGGTGTGCTAAAGTACACCCTGTACGCCTTGCACGTGCTCTTAATCTGCTCGTAGTCGCCCGTCAAGCCAATAAAGTCCGGGTGGAATTCAGCCAGGTACTCCTTGAGTACTTTGGGGTTGTCGCGCGCGGGATCGCATGTAATCATGATGGGTAGGAGCACGTTGCCGCATTCTGCAACAACCTTGTCGTACATGAGCGCCATCTTGTCGAGTTCGTCGGGGCAAATGTCCGGGCAGTGGGTGAAGCCGAAGTAGACCTGGAGTGGGCTCAATGAATATGCTTCTTCCAAGAGTTGGAGTGCCATTGACCTACCAATGAGTATTTTCCAAGCATATCCTCGTTGCTGAATGGGTTCCCGTTTTGATCTACTAGCCGGAATGGTCCACCGACTTTGGGCTTGCCTATTCCTTTGGTCTGCTCGGCTATCCGCTTCCGTGCCAGGCGCTCCTTCTCATACGTGAAATAGGCCCATAGTCCTCCGCCCGCTGCGATGAAGAGGATGGCGGCTGTAAGATTGAATGGCTGGACAACATGTCAGCTATTGAACTTCCCATTCATTCTGATTCCATTCAAAAGATCTATCAGAGTGGATATCCAACGTACCCCGCCCTTGTTCCGTGCCCGAATCTGGTCAATTGTCTTGAGCTTGCTCCGCGATGCCGATTGCGAAAATGTCCGTGTCTGCCCGCCCAAGCTACTCGCAGTCTTCCCCGCACCATTCTGTATCCTTTGCAATTCCCTCAAGCATGTCGTCTTTGGCGCGGTGCCACTCCGTGAGTATGCAAGCGCATTCGTTGTGCTCGAAGCGAAGGCTTGCTGCGGGACGGTCGCAATGCGTGGGTTTCTCAGATTCTTAGCGGCCATGGCCAAGCATTTGCTCGGGGTGGACATCGTGGTCGCAATGTCGAATGGACGCTGGTGGTCTTGCGGGGCGTGGCGGATGTTGATGTGGGATACTTTTCGCAATTCGAGATGAAAGATCGGTGCACGGGCCAGTCTCGAATGACATCGCCGGCCAAAATCCATGCACTACTAGTGGGGAATGACAATTGGACAATTTCGAACTAACAAAAGTACGGTTCGCAGATACATCTTGAAAACTACCAACGCTAGTGGTCTATGTCTACATTTAATCAGCCGAAATGATAGCCATGGTAGCTCGCCATATTTTTCAAGAGAATATCACGATAGCCAACTTGGGCTCGAATTCGTTGTACAAGTTGTTATGTCCTTTCTAGTGCAACTGCCTATCTTTAACAACAAACCAGGACCCGATAGTTGGGCTCATCATGAGGAGACTCGGGCAAAAAGAGTGCCAAAATCAGCTTCAATTGTATTCTAACAATACAATACGATCTAACAGCGAATGCGCTGATTCTTGTTAGTCTTGATCTTTCTAGCGTTGCTGAAGTATCTGAGATCTCTTTCTCGAAGTTCTCTTTCTCATTACCAAGCATTTCCATAAGCGACATTTGCGTCACATCCAAGAAATAGTTCAAACGCGTATAGTCGGAACCTCAATTTTTGCCGAACTTACCTAGATCAACCCCTGAGCAACCATGCGGCTGGATCATAGAAGCCAGATAGTTTACCCCTATCGACACGTACCAACGTGCAAAGATTCTGTTTAGAGATGTTTCTGCTAACCAAGACCGTGGATTCTTCACCCACGTCGTTCTCTTCATCAGTGCATGCTCATAATTAAAAATAGAACCACTTTGCGCCCAACCATATAGTACACCTCTGTTATAGCTAACCCCTTTTCACGTTCAGGCCAACATGTTCGTGCTTCCTATAATGATCAGCTATGTATAAGAATACCGGGTTGACTACGCATTTACCCATTTGCAGTCACGAAACTAGTCCATGAATCTTCTATGCTCATCACTCATGAACTATGCCAATAAAAACCCTACAAGCAGTAGACTAAGAATTGAGAGCGGCAGACTTGTAGCCTAAAACGAAAGAGTGGTGCGTAAGATCAAAGTGGGGAATGTTTCAGTCATTTAATTGATTCATTAGTGAACGTGCCACAACATGCCCAATGATTCTATTTGAGTTTCAACAGCCAGCCCATCCGCGGATTACTTGCCAATTCATTAGAATATTCTCATCTCTATGAGTAAACAATGTCTGTACGGTTCAATTATGCTGGAATAATACGTTTAATGCTTCAGTCCAATAGACCATCTAGCTGGCCACTATGTGTTCGCACGGACGAATTCACTTATATCATTGGCCTAAATACAACGAGATCCAGAAAAGGCTATCAAAGCCATCGCTGAGATCAGAGGCGGGTTCTACGTGTTTCGAAGCAGCCATCAAAATTGCGTCCACAATCGATCGCATTTGTGTGATATCCTAGACTACCAGAACATTTCACCTGAAACGTCGGTAACAAGACTGCTTTCCGCACATCCTTACCCCTGCCTCTGTTCTGACCTGATGGCTGCGTATTTAGACACATTCACTGCAAAAATATCTGCCAGTGTCGTAACCATAGCTGGTCAAATCCTGCTCCCACCATCCAGCATGGTACCACCCACATTTCTGCGTAATGTAACTGCTTGTCTGAGCACGTCTAGTTGCAGTACATTGGACCAATTTGATAGCACGGTTACAAAAGAATGCAACGGTATTACCACGAACAGAGTAGTAGTCGTGGCGGCCCTTGGTCGGTCCATAGTTGCTGCATTGGTAATATAGATCAGCATTTGCGGCATCAGTGTCCTACAATGAATTGGTTACTAGCTTTTCATAATGAGCTCCAAGAGTACTGACGCCATGGTGCATATTTGCTTTGTCAGGGCCCTGGTTGCAAAAAGCACCGCGGGCCTGAAGGCGTGGAGAGCGAATGGAGTCTACTCTCTTAGTATAAGCGGTCAATTCAGTGGCAGAGAAGTCCGTGGCGTTGCCAATCTTGACGTGGACATCAACGCCGTTGGCATCGACATGGTGCTCGTAGTCACCATCTCCAGTGCCTTCGGGAATGATGAAAGCACTAGAAGCGCTGAGGAAAGCAAGAAGGAGAACATTCCTGAGCTGCATTGTGGAAAGATGTGAAAAAAAAGTTGAATGATCTTATTGCCTGTAGTCTCTGTGTTTTTTTGTGGTGGCAATGATGCGAGAGAGATTCCTTCCTTTGTACTTTCTCTCTACCCATTAATGAGCCCTTTCTCCATGAAATGCTCGCCTATATTTTTCAGACCTTGGCAAAGAAAACGTTATTATGGCAGTTCCATGAGCCTAGCTTGGCTCAAGAAGGGAAATGCACTTTTCAGAAGCACGATTAGGCTTGCTGCATATGAGATTAAGCCTTATGATCATACCTTGCACTTTACTAACAATGCAGGTGAAATTTGAGATACGTCGTGGATAAGCACTACCAGGAAGTACCATCAGGCGTGCTGCATGAATATAATACCATCGGGTATCGTGATGCAGGACACGCGATTGGCTGAGATTTGGTTTTAGCCAGTAAACCAACACGCTACACCAAGCCTGGCAATGGTATTATATACAATCAGTCGTTACCAGCCGCTTGGTGAATCTCTTCCGGGACGTATGGTACAGACCGCTCGGCAAACTCGAAATTTGCACCAACAAGTCAACATCACATTATTGGAGTCTGCGTAGTGAGAACTCAATACCAAATCCCTGATTGCTTCTCAATTCGCAACTTACATCTACGTATAGTATTCTAAGAGTGTGGCGTGTCATCGCACTATATAGGTTCACAACCCTAGTGCTACTATCCCAGATTTCTTGGCTAGAAACGGTAGATACGCGAACGACAAGCCGCTAATACTGCCCGCCTAAGATGGCTGCAACAGGCGTAGCTGAAAAGATTGGGAGTATCATATGTGATTACCAAGAGCATTTTTAGACGTGATGGGGGCCTAAAAAAACCAGGAAAGGTCTTAAGCAGCGAGTGCCTGGATGCATTCTGATCAGGACCATTACAAAATGTTATGACAGTCAGACTTTGTGAGCGGCCACCACTATGAGGCAACAGAATCTTTACTGAACATGGACTATTGAGAAAATTTCGTACATAGATTGTCCAGGCCCCCAATACCTATACCACAGCACTTACTGGGGCTTCAGTCTGCCCGCATTTTATCGAATGGGTTTACCAATTACAGATTGTGAAAGAGACATTGCAATACAGATAAAGATTCCCGACGCTACCGAATTCTTCAGCTGCATGACTCTTCCACAGAATGTGAATTCTTACTTGTCATTGTACATTATCCACTTACACCAAGGCGCGTCTCAATATAGTGAATCAAATGGCCTAGGTCATTCGATTACATCACTTGTTGATACAGGGAAATATATGTCCAAACTCCCTATTACCTCAAGAACTTACGATAGTCTTCTATCTTCTGAAATAGCTTCTATAGGAGCCTCAAAGCCTTTTCTGTTACCCCTTTGGAATTTTGGTGACTTTTGGAGTCATTCTGCAGCCTTACGAGCTGTGACACTTACGACCTTTTCAGTATCCTTCTACTCCTTCACCTTATGCCTTGTCAGGCTTGCTGCAACCCTCGCCTGGCACCCAAGATCTTTTTCCTTCACCTTTACTTACTCTGCCTAGTCATTCTTCCTCATTGTTTTAGCTATTTGGTGTTTTAGCTCCTCCTGCTCCTCCTGATAGAGTCAGAGGCTATCGCGCGCCTCCTTTACTTTGGAACCATAATACACCATCACCATGATACTGCTTAGCTTGCTGCAGGAGCAGAAGTCTCCCTCGTTTCCTGTGCGTTATCTCATTGACCAGGGATTTTTTTTTCATTCGTGTGCATTTAACTTAGCCCGAGTAGAAGGTGCTACTGAGCATTATAAATCGCCTGACGTGGTTTGAAGGGAAGTTACTATTAGTTTACGAAGATGTTTTTTATTCCTTATAAAGAGATTTTCAATCTAACTTGAATATATCGGTCGAGCTTAAGCTCTACATAAAACGATAGAGAACTCCATACAACGATAAAATTCTAGACAGACATGTAGCACCTCTCTAATTGCAACATACACAAGAAGCATCCACGATGCAACGCTGTTATTTGGTTAGTAAATGTACTGATGGAAGATACAAATGTTTGCATAAAACATACTCCGAGAATCTTAGGACAGGTGCAGGCAGGTGCTGGTGTAGGTGCTGCTGCTGGTGGAGGTGATACCAATGTTTGAACTAGACTGCCTTGACGAGCTTCAAGTGCGTCTTGCACTTTGCCCAGATCGGATCGGCTGCCTAGTTTGGTTGGGGTGCTGATCACCAGTGCAGTGAAGGCCAAGGGCAGAGTCATAAAAAGCTTCATCTTGAAAACGCGTAAAAGATTGTGGAAGAGAGCTGCTGTGAACTTTTGTGAACTGTTTGTGAATTGATAAGTGAAGTGAGAGATTGTTGGATATGTAGGTTAAGTGAGAGACACCTAGGACTTTATATAGAGATCTGTATTAAGTGACGCCCCTCTCAAGTAAGGTACAGTCAATCTTTGCTATAATTAAACACGCATAACTCGACGAAGTCCTTTGTTCGATAAAGCAAAGCTACAAGGGTAACATTCCGGCGTATACGATGGACCGTGGTAGTTGTAGCATGGAACGATGAAAGAAAAGCCCCAATTTTCGACCTTAATCTGGGAAGATGCTAACTAGCCAAGCCGTCTAACTTGCTAAAAACTTAAACCTGAAACAACTACAAAACGTACAAGTAAAAGCACGCCTTAGGCCGACAAAAATCACGTTGTAACAAGCTCTTACTCCCAGACACCTGACACTTGGCGTGTTACATAAGTTTCACATCCATACTTCTCTATTTAGGTTCTTCCTAGAGCCTGTGAGCTCTATGCTATAAAGAAAGTGCTGATAAAATCTATTTATTCTGATATGTTTATTTCTTCCAATGTCTCTATTTCGTCTGGTTTTGCCATGCTGTTCATTCCATCTTAACGAGATGGTTAGGATGGTACTGCTATCTGTTCCTGCTTGTCTATTCTAGATGGTAAGCCTTAGCAGGATACCACATTACGTGACCTCGAGTCCCGCGATGGCTACTACCTTCTGACGTGGACGTCCCTAGGCTTCATGCCTTCTTATATCTTCTTGAGGAGATAATCCGTCTTGTTACTTGTAACAGTTAGATGATTTCGTACTAGAAACGAGGTCCTTTGTATGACAATTACCGCCTTAAGGACTGGACCCGCGTACCTACACGTTGGGAAGGCCTTATGGAAAAATCGAAGTGGACTACCTGATAGTTCATCAACACTGAATGATCTGGCCCCCACGGTTCAATCCTCTCGCAACATGTCATTCAATCCACACGATTGCTATGTGCTGCAATTAAAAGCATGAGAACTTCTCACACGCTCATTTAGATGAATGCCATTCTTCACAATCAGCCCCTTGCTGGCATTTATCGCACCGGCAAACACGTAACTATGCCTAGGACAGAATTTTATTTGAACGCGAACAAGCACTATTCGCGACAGATGCGCTGCATAAACGGCCGTCCCGTTGTCAAGACCCACTTTAGAGACCCCACTTGGGACAGGAGAAGAAATGAAGCTTACGTCGCGCTTACTTCTGATTAAGTACTAACACAAATAGAGTGGGTTGAGAAGGCCTTAACACTCTGTTCTTAGGAAGTGGGACCCGAGGTAACTTCTCGCAACGGGAGAGTGAATCCTACGTATGTTGATCAGGCCCAGATATTCAATTGGATTGCCTGAAAATGAGGTTGAAATTCTTCAAAAAGACGGTTTGGTGTCATGTACCTGGCATGTTTCTGAGTCAACACCCACTACGAAATTCAATTTTTTCCCAGATACATCGTATGACCGTTGGTGCACAAGGAATATCCCCTGATATAAAAGAATGAAAATTTGCTTCGAATGTGTAATTATTACAGCTAATGTTTTTGCTGTCCAAAAAATAGAATATGTCAGACATTACAAGCACTTCATCTTTCCTCCGTGGGGTTTTACCGGCCAAAGACATCTCCAAGATCAATCCGATACTCGACCTTCACGACCCTCTTCAAGCAGCTGGATCGAACGCAGAAACGTTTCTTCATCGCACATCTCAACACTTTTCTACCTCAAAAAAGCAGAAAAGCAATAATCAATCGTATTAGGTTACTTTCACACCACTTGAAGCAGAAGAACGCTTTCCATATCTCTCGGGCATAACACCTGCCTACGAAAGCGTATTTTGGAAACAGACGTTGGATCCGGCTAATGAGCTCGTTGACCTGATTCAAAGCGAAAAGAATGAGCTAGATTTGCCACTACGTGATGGAACAACACTACGGCATGTTTGCGCGAGTGCAGGCATTAGGCAAGTCCCACATATGGCTGGGGGGGTATATTGCGCAAAAGCAACTGCAATGATGTATCCATTCTGTAAGGATGCTAGGCGTTTGGAGCTGATCAACGTGCTCATGATCATGTTGTGGGTCTACAACGGTAAGTCTCTACGTAGTCATGCAATGTCAGATTTGACAAGAACAGACAAATGCGAAAAGAGCACCGGGGAGGAAGCAGCCAACTTGTTACATGAATGGGAAGTGCGCCTTGGAACCGGGGATCGTGGATGTAACGAAAGTTCGCCATTGCAAAAATATCTCGACAAAACGATTGTGAAAATCTAAGAAGACGATCGTGTTACAGGTAGCACGGCAGGAAGAGAACTGCACCTGGCCACCCTAAATACAGAATACTGGCTGAAGCCGCCAGCAAAGTACGAAAACCTCGGCGAGTATCTAGCTTATCGCTACCGAAATATTGGCGCAGTGTTTGTCTGGTCATGTGTAAAGTTCAGCATGGATCTCAAAGTGGACATTTCGGATCCGCGTATCGCGGAATGGCTTGAGTGGGCTGGTTTGCATCTGGGCATGATCCCCTACCTGCACCTATTTACCAGCGCAGTCACAGAGGAGCTCATAGATAGATAGACAGGCACTAATATAGAGATCTATTGCTACAGACGGTATCAAATAGAACTCGTACTACAGTTAGTGCAGAGTAGTTGACAGGACGTAGCTTAAAGAGCTACACTGTCACGTGACTTGGGCATGGCCCAAAGGACACCCCTCTGGCCAGGGGGGCCGAGATCTCACAAGTATAGGGTAGCTCCCATCCGACTCTTGGCCCAGGCCCGGCTCCTTTCTGCGGCTAATCAGGTGCGCGCGCGCTGGCCTCCTCGACCAGCGCCGTGACACTAAGTAATTTAGTTTTACACAAAACCGCAGAAGGCGCGAACCTCTTGTCCCTGCTCTCTGGCTCTTAGTTTCACCTGTACGTAAGCGTTCGATCTCTCCTTGTGTACGGACACTGTGTTGATCTATCTTGAGGGTAGCGTTGTGGAGCGAAAGCTCCAAGGAAGTCACGAGCGGTGATTCGGCGATCCGACCGATAACAGAGTGCGGCTGAAACCTCTGGCCCAAGACCTGTCGCGTAAGCCATGCAGCCACGTCAATTCAGGGGATCCATAAATATTCCTTGCACGCCAAAGTGCGGGGAACAAAACCTATTGTCTTATTGGTACTGAAACTTTAAAAAATGATCCCATGCAGATGCTGATCACAGCCATCGCAGAAGACCTAGCGCATTGGTGCCACACTTTCCTGCCCACATTCTGTCTACCCCACCACTTCGTATTCTTTTTTGCATGCGTCTGCAACACGAAAACGGGATTAAAAACTCCTCTATTGTTACACGGGGTTAGGTTGTACTTACCTAGTCTCGGTCCGGGTTAGGGCGAGACGGCTTGTCAACGTAAACCGTGCGATACTACATACTGGATGTGGTCAGTGCGTGCAACAGTTCAGCCGATGCAACACCCCACCGAAATGGGCGCCCACTAAAAA